AACCCTACACGTGTCCATGTTCTGGAAGCCTCTTTCCCATTTTACCCCTGACCAAAATAGCACGATTCCTTCAAACATGGGTAGGCTGCCCTCTAAATCACTGGACACATCGCCCTCTCTCATTGGCCAAATCTCTGCACACACACACACACACACCCAATCACGTTATATATACATAACACGTTCTTTATGGCCACTGATAATGTAACACGTGTCGCCATTATGTACATATATGTACCTTTTCACCTTTTTTTGTTGGTTGCTCTCTCAACATACGTACTAACTCATCACTCCTCACCCATTACTTTTTTCCCCTTTTTCAGAAGTTGGATTCGAACGAATGGAGAAGCTCGGCCGCTAGATCTGCACATCGATGCTCAGATCGCCGGATAATAAGTCCGTCATGAGCCGGATAATGCTCAGATTCCGTCCGATCGCGCCGAAGCCGGCGTCCGGCGGTGGATCTTCCTCCGGCGAAGCGGATCCGGAGATGTGGAAGAGGGCCAAGAGGAAGTACGTCAGAGCCCGCGGCCGGCGGGGTAAGCAATCGGCCTGCGCAAAGCAGCCGTCGCCGGAAAAATCCACAATCGAGGTGGAGACGCCGCCGGCGAGAGCAGGAGTGACGCTGCAGCTTCTACCGGAGAGATCTGAGGAGATCTCGTACAGCTCAGATCTGCGCACCTCGGACAGCGGCTGCGGGAGCTGGCCTCCGGCGGTGCGCGGCGGAGAAATTTCTCCTCCGGGAATAAGGCGCGTGGGATCTGCAATCGAGACGTTGATTATCGTGGAGCGCGTGACGGAGGGGTTTGAGGACGTAGGGTTAGGGTTTTCGGATGACGAATTGGTGCGGAGCATGGAGAGGGACACGTGTCCGGGCTTCATATCCGACCCGAGGAACAACGTGATTTGGGTGAACGAGGCGTACAGGAAGATGGTCGGGGCCGGGGAGAAGGGGTTTGTTGCCGTGTGGTTGGTCGTGCAAGATGTGTTGCCCCAATTTTACCCTTCCTTCGCATGCAGGGTGAGGGTAGTGGTGCAACGGGGAGGCCAGGGGCAAAATTGGAACAAAATATTGCCATGCGATGTTTGGAGGATGGTGGAATCCCATGGATTTGCATGGAAATTGGACGTAAACACCGCGCTTAGCTTAAGCATCTAGCAACCAACACCAGGTGATTAACTATTAATTTAATTAATTATCTCCCATCCTATTAATTAATTGGAAGATTCTACGGTCCCAGATCATTCCGTCGAAGTTTGTAAGCGTTAGATCATCATGTAATCATCGAGATAGTTGCTCTAACAATTACAAACCTCGACGAAATGATTCCGTAACGAGACTGTATTATTTTCTTAATTAATAGTTAATTGATTAATTAGATTGAAATGGGAATACAATGTTTTAGTTAGGGTTGACCCAAATATTTCGATTCAAATATTAAGATAACTATATAGAGAAAATATGATCATATCATCATTATTATAAAAATAATTACCACTATTTGTGAAAAGGATCAATTTGCAAAGCGAATGTGAACTACTTAATTATTGGTCAGCTTTATATATAATATGTATAAAAGATTGGATTTAACTACAAGATTGATGCTTATCAGGAAAAGATTTGAGTTGAGCCTTCCAATAAAGTCAAAACACTTGACACTTCGATATATATATGACAGTCCAAATCATGAACATAGAGACACACATTGTCAATGTGTATGCAATTTGTTTTTTTTACTTTAATAAACGTTATTATCATATATACCTTGAGATGTTCGTCAGAGATATTAATTAATTCATTAATTTACTTCTTTAATCCTTTATAATCTAGGACAAGCCCACGATAATACTAATATAATAAATTATAAAATAATTAAACTTTTGATGAATCTTTGGAGATTAAACCAAAATATTTCCGCAATTATTAAACCTAAAATGGGACAATGACATTTATTAATGTAATAAACATTATTTGTACCAAAAATAATGTAATAAACATTATTATTATTATTATTATTATTATTATTATTATTATTATTATTATTATTATTATTATTATTATTATTAGTATTATTATTATTATTATTATTATTATTATTATTATTATTATTATCAATATAATTAAATAATATCAATTATTCATACACACCACATCCACCTTTATTCACTATTCATCTACTCACAATCTTTTAACTAACCATCACATTACATTAAATCAATTTTAATTATTTTAATTTAAATATTATTTTAATATATCCATTACCAACTAACCATACCACTTTTTTTAAAACTAACCAAACAAAACAAAAAAATCTCACAAAACCAAAAATTTTCATAAATAAACATGCTCCAAGTGTTCATCTTATCTCTCTCTTTCCTAATTAGCTCACAAATAATATGTTTTGTGAGTCAAAAATTAATACACACTCTTCTATTTCTTATTTTATTTCTCCTAACTTCATATTTCTTCCCAAAATTTCTCAGATCATTAAAGCCACAAAAATTATTTTTTTTTTTTTTTT